TTTTTATTATTATTATTGTATTTAAAATTTGTGACCCTGGAGCACAAAACCACCAAGTCGTAAGGGTCATTTTTTTTAATTTGAGATTTATGCATCATCTGAAAGCTGAATGAATAATCTTTCCATTGATGTATGGTTTGTTAGGATAGGACAATATTTGAAAATCTGGAATCTGAGGGTGCAAAAAAATCTAAATATTGAGAAAATCATCTTTAAAGTTGTCCAAATGAAGTTCTTAGCAATGCATATTACTAATCAAAAATTAGGTTTTAATATATTTACGGTAGGACATTTACAAAATATCTTCATGGAACATGATCTTTACTTAATATCCTAATGATTTTTGGCATAAAAGAAAAATGGATAATTTTGACCCATACAATGTATTGTTGGCTATTGCTACAAATATACCCGTGCTCCAGGGTCACATTTTAATGACAGAATTGAGGTAAATTGTGACACTTTTATTGGACCGAGATGTCCCAGTTGTCCTGAATCAAGCCCGAATAATGCCTTAGCTGTAAATGAACCACTGTGTCATCAGCTGAGCGAATGATGGCTGGTTAATAGCCGCCTGCGTCGCTAACGTGTTTCGTGTTCGCCTGCTGCAGGGAATCACCTTCAAACGGGTCGGGGTCCCGACGGCCAACGACATCATCCAGTCCTCCAGTAAAGACGCCGTGAGGTCCGAGATGCTCAGATTAATCATCACGCTGATGTGCATGCAGAGATTAATGTTTTATTTACCGTGAATGTGATGTATGCTGCTGCTGCAGGTTTCTGGACTCGGTCCCGGCCGTGGCGGTGGGGTATTTCCGCGAGGCGGCGCGTGAACTGATCGAGCAGCGCGGGGCGGAGGAGGCGCTGGCGGCGGCCCTCGCTCACATATCAGGAGCCACCAGCCTGGAGCAGAGGTCCCTCATCAGCTCCGACGCCGTACGTCTTCACATCACACCACAGCAAACACCTCACACAGCACAACTGTCTTTCTACAGTTAATGCAGAGTTATTGAATCAGTGTGAAACTCAGCAGACGTTTATGAAGCGTGTCTCGTTCTGTCAGGGGTTCTCCACCATGATACTGAACTGCTCTCAAGAAATGCACAACATCGGTTTCGCCTGGCGTGGCCTGAAGGAGCAGCTCGGGGAGGGAATCGATGAGCACATCAAACGCATGACCTTCCTCAAGGGCAGGACGGTACGTGTTTACTAAAGCCAAGACGGCATTTAGTGCTCCTCAGTCAGGACAACATACAGTCGCTGGGATGCATTGCCAAAACGTATGATTAGAAACTAATGACCGCAAATATGACAGAAAAATTGCAAAATTAAAGGAACATTTATATATTTGAGTTTGCCTGACTCTCAGTACATCTGAATTATGGGTGTGATAGTGCATTTTTCTTAATAGATTTCTCTCTTTTTTTTTATTCTGTGGTATGAAAAAGCCCACACTATTCAACATCCAGTTCTCCTATACGCATGACCTTCCTCAAGGGCAGGACGGTACGTGTTTACTAAAGCCAAGACGGCATTTAGTGCTCCTCAGTCAGGACAACATACAGTCGCTGGGATGCATTGCCAAAACGTATGATTAGAAACTAATGACCGCAAATATGACAGAAAAATTGCAAAATTAAAGGAACATTTATATATTTGAGTTTGCCTGACTCTCAGTACATCTGAATTATGGGTGTGATAGTGCATTTTTCTTAATAGATTTCTCTCTTTTTTTTTTATTCTGTGGTATGAAAAAGCCCACACTATTCAACATCCAGTTCTCCTATAATAATAATAATAATAAAACGATAAAACAAAAGCATAAACTGATCAGTAGAAGCATGCACACACACTATGCCATTACAGTGAATATGCATCGAGATATTGCTTGCAACACTAAGGTTTGAGGTAAACATATGGGCGGTTGTAAAGGTGCATTTAATGTCTCAGAACAGTTATTTTAATCGAAATGAATACTCTGAAATATTAATGTGAAATAAATACACGTACATATTTTGATATATGCACACACAAAGGTCAGGACAGGCCTTTATGTAAAGTGGAAATACTCTGCATTTGAATTTAAAATTATTAAACATTTACAGTCAGTGTGAGCATCAAATGCAAGTATTGTATGCTAGGAAAAATATGTTGTTCTTACAGTCTCTATATCATATACAAAGACCTCTTGAGCTGCGGATATCACTGATGAGTTTCTCTGTCCACAGACCTGATGAATAATCAATGATGGATTTTGTTGATCATCTATTACCAGTTTTATCAATTAGTTCTGTATTATTATTGATTTATTTTCACATATTACTATAACACATTTGCATATATACCCAAATTCTCACTTAAGGCGCAATATTCTGACTTTGTTATTTCTAAATCATGGTAGCATATAAATGACTAAATTAGCAGTGAGACTAGTGGTGTGTGATATATGTCGTCTGCAATAATATCGTAATTGTTGTTTTAACGATGTGCGATTTGACATTGAGTATATTGCAAAAACCATTCAAAACACCCCTACAGAGTGCACTCATACGTTACATGAACTCTAGTCTAGTGTGCGTATATTATAGTACGTTCTTTTACTGCATGATTCAATTTATTAAAATACCTTCAGAATGATCACAAATTCAAGACATTTTTTTCATCCAAAAATTACCATTACACTACTGAGATACTGATTTTTTACGGCACTTCAATACAAAAGAATTTAAGAGATTTATGTTTTAGACACCATATTTCCTGGTTCTGCATCTCTGAGCAACATGACGGTGATTCGTTCCTGAATGAATCAACCGTTTAAATTATTCGGTTCAATCGCAATGACTCACTTATTAACAGTGACTTGCTGCCACCTACTGGTGGTTTTAATTTCACATTTAAAATATATTTTTATTATTTAATTTCAAATAACTGTATTCAACGTTTTGTTTAATATATCAAAACATTATAAATGCATGTTAAATGTATTCATGTCCTGCGTTAAACGTAAAATATATTTTTATTATTTAATTTCAAATAACTGTATTCAACGTTTTATGTTTAATTTATCAAAACATTATAAATGCATGTTAAATGTATTCATGTCCTGCATTAAACAGTGAGTAAACACATCTAAATGCCTCTTCAGATGCAGCTTCTGTGTTTCTTCTGCATTGCAAAGATGAATTTAGTTGATACTGATTTCATAATACACTGATAAAATGTAGTAATTTGACTGAAAAGATGGTGCACACATTTAGAAAAAATGGCTTTGTAAAGGTAAAAATGCCCATAAAAGGTAAAAATCATTTTAAACTAGGAGTGTAACGATACACGTGTTCGTATTGAACCGTTCAGTACGAGGCTTTCGGTTCGGTACGCATTACAAACGGGACGATTCGTTGGAGTAATCCTATTACATTTGGAAAATAAAAGAGCTTAAAGTGTGTGAAATATAATGTACTCCAGGTTGTGACGGTGAGGTAGTTCGTTATAGTTTTCTTTTATTCGCTTTTAAATGGCTTGTAAATGCATGTGCGCATTTTACTTTCACTTTCGAATTAGCGTCAATTCGGCCTCAATTGATTAAATGGACAACAACAAGACAGTACGACAAACTCACATTAAACACAGAATGTTTAATTTATTAACAAAACGAGTACAAATACACCATGCTATAGGCCTAATATAAAATAACAAATAACTTAAACACTGAAAATCAGCAAACGCGGTGGAACCAAATAAATAAGAAACTAATGTTAAAAAAGCTTCCAAAATCATCTTAGATAAACGGCAAAGGTCAAAAGGCCTTCCAAAGTCTAACATATTTTTAAGATCATATTTTATGATGATAGTTTTAATAGAAAAAATTAAAAAATAAATCAAGGAAATTTCTCTGGCATTTCCTTGTTTTTGCTGTATCAGTGACACCGCTGTGTCGTATCGAACCGAACCGTGAATTTTGTGAACCATTACACCCCTGTTTTAAACTTATTGGGAAAGATTAATTTCTATCACTGCTGTGAACTGACCACCACACAGAATATGAAAAATATCAAAAACTTTGAGTCAGCTGTCCACGGCAGTCCTTAAGATGCCAGCACATTAACACACTCTGCAAAATATCGTCTAATTATCGTCATCGATAAAATCCCAGAAAATATAATTTTTTGTCAATAATGGCACGCCCCTAAGTGAGACTGAGGATCTGCATCTCTGTTTGTTTTTGAGAGTTCAGGGCTTGATTTCTAACGGCTCCTGTGTGTGTGTTTCTCTCAGGGTGTGTGTTTCGACGTCCCAGCCAGCAAAGTGAAAGAGATGCAGGTATGACGAAGCGCTTGTAAAGCCACGCTGGAGGGACGTGTCTGTACACACTTCTTTCCCATGTGTTTGAGAGTCGCTGTGCGCTCTCGGGTTTCACTAGCGGAGGCTTGTGTTTCTGTGTCTCTGCAGGACAGATGGCAGGACGGCGGGCGCTGGCAGCTGAGCGTGGCCACAGAGCTCCCCGAGATGGAGCAGAGCATGCGGCAGAGCAGCGAGCGGTCCTCCGGAGGCTTCGGGGGACGAGGACGCCGCTCCTTTGGCTTCAGAGGCAACAACGGCTCCGGCGGCAGAAGAGCACGAGGAGGAGGCGCTGCTCAGAAACGCAGCTTCAGCCAGGCCTTCGATTACTGATCTGGACTCTGTCATGCTTTTACTGCCCTCTCGCTCTTTACTCGAGCCATCAAATACGCTGACTGCTTTTACTTGCAGTTGTGCTATTTATACAGTCTGTCCCGCTGATATTAAAGTGGTGTTTAAACTACACCGCGGCTGCGTTTCATTGCTTGTAAAACTCACTGGCTCTTCAGACGTGGGCTGGAATGACATTATCTTGAACGAAATCACATTGTGTGGTAATATGATTAAAATCTCCCGACTGTCTCGAGCGTGTCTTACAGTCTGAAAAGCGAAAAGCCTGTGATTAGTAGTCAGGGGTGTCCAACACGTCTCATCCAGCTAATCGAGGTCTTGCATTTGGAGTTAAACTCTGCCGAAGCAGGATCGGACAGCGAGCTGAAATGTTCCTAACATTTCTACAACACGTTCACTGCCGTGCTTGAATAATAATGAATAGTCACCTGATTCAATACGCACAGGAATGACGTTCATCGATGTTCTGCACGCTCGTTTGGGAATGAAGGCCACACACGGTTTAATCCAAAGCATAAACTCAAGATTTATTGAAAGATTTGGCATACAAATAAAAATAGCTGATGTCTTCTTTAGTGACCAAGAAACTGTCATTTTGCATAATTTATCATAATTTATTACAACTCAAAATCATTCAGGCACAGTTTCACTGTCCAGTCATTAACATGTCCATTAATGACTATGGTTTTTCTTCAGTTGCACTGCAAAAAACACAAATCCAAATGCAGTAGTGTGAAGCTGCTGGTTCAGTCGTATTGACCTGATGAGGTGTTACAGTCAGTCTGGAAGGAGTAACCGGAAAACTCCACCGTCTCGCCTGAAATCAGAGGAGTTCACCGATCTTAATAGCTAATAAGGACACACAATTCTTAAAAGTGATCAAATGGTTAGGTGGAAGACTGTGTTGGAGTATAGTTTTGTTCTCCAGTGTTTACTGGGGATAGCTGTAGGATGCGGAGATGTTTTCTTACACCGGCATCCCATCCACACGGGGTTTGGCCTCCAGCCCCTGTCGCTCTCGCACGAGGGACTCCAGTGCTCCAGGTTCTTCAGGTGATCCACGATCTGCAGAACGAACGCACACCGTCTTAGATCCAACACTCAAGGAACTAACTAGAAAAGAGCAGTTCTAAACAAACCTCGGTGTTGGCTTGACAAAGCATTAGCTGGAGCTGAAATGAGTTCATGAAGGCCACGTCTTGTGGCGTTGTCAAAGGGATCGTTCACCCAAAAATAACAATTCTGCTAAAGCAATAAGCCCCGTGAAGCTGTGGTTTACAGTGAATTTGTAACAGCTAAGGGGTGTTGTTGGGTATGACGTGAAGCGGAGTCTAAAACCCCCTTAGCTGTTATAAATGCACTGTAAACCACAGCGTCACGGGGCTTATTGCTTTTATAAAACGGTTATTCCATATACGTAGTAAGGTTTCACAAAATAAAACAGAGCAAATAAAGTGTGATGGTATTAATAAAAACAGTATTCTTCCACCAAACAATGTAGTTCCTCAGAAACAGTTGTGGTTGCAACAAAGTGGTTGCCGAGCAACACACAAACGTAAACAAAGGTGTATGTTTGTAGAGTAATTTACAACAGCTTCGAACGCGGCTCAGCCAATCAGAATCAAGCACCGGAACTAACCGGTTTATAATATTATTTAGATGTTTTGAAGAATGCTGGTAACAGTTGTTGGTCCCCATTGACTTCCATAGCGTGAATAAACTACCATTTTCATTTTTGGGTGAACTATCCATTTAAAGTGTTTTTTGGAGTGGTTGACATACAAATGCATTTTTTTTTTTTCTTTTTTTTCAAAAACCCAAGTAAACAGACTGAGGTAACCCAAACGAGAAAAAAAATGCTATAGTAATTTATAATAAATACTATAGTGTTTTTGAACCATACTATAGTAAAGTACTTGAATTAATTTGTTGTGATAATTCTATAGTTGCTGTGGTAATATAACAACTATAGTAATATAAACAAATTACCCAATACTGTACCAATAAGTTTTCTACAACTATAGAGTAAAGTATACTACAGTATTTATTACACTTTATCAGTTCACTATAGTTAATTCTACAGTATGCTGTAGCATTCATTAACAAAGTGTTGTAAATACTATAATATATACAGTATAATACACTTCTCTATAGTATGGTATGGTTCAAAAAAACACGAGCATTTACTATAAATTACTATAGCATTAAGTTTCAGGGTAAGTTGCCTTTGCAACTATTTAATGAACATGACTCCAGAGCCATTCTAGTGTCCTGTGGAACCGCTCACGATTGCCTGAAAATATCTTGATAAATGGCATAATCTGAGACAGCAAAGTGTTATTGCTGAGACTTTGTGCATCAGATGCTCCAGCGTTCGTGTTCAACAGACAGCTGCTCCTGCTGACAGCAAGGCCGCTGAAGATGCTTTTATTAGGTTTTCCCGCTTCATGCAAGTGAGCCGTGTTTACTCGCTGGCGTCCTGAGATCTCTCTCGCTCGAGTCGACTCCTAACCTGTGTTTGGATGAGAACAGCATGTCCACCAGAGATCTTACCTTCAGCACAGCTTCGGTTTGCTCGTGCTCGTCTGTCTTGTTCAGCTGCAGTCCTGCGGAGGTCATTCATTAGTCACTCTTAAACCTCTGCTAGTCTTAATTATCGTCCACAGACGAGTACAGTTACCCTGTGAGAAGGTGATGTCTGGTCTCTGCTCCTCGACACATTTGTCTTCACTGCCTCGGTCATCGGAGAGCTTCCAGAAGGCCTCTGCATCCATACGGGAAAGATACGACATCTCCATTACAGTGGGGAAGCTAGTTAGTGTTTTAGGTTGTCACCTGTCATTGGTTCACACCTGTAAATCTCTCCAGTGGCGTGTTCCTTTGTGTTTGCGGAGGTGTTGCTGCTTCACTGTCGCTCTCCAAACACCTCAAAGCTAAAGAGAAACATCATCACAAACTCAGACTTCTCATGCATTAACGAGAATAACCTAAATCACATTTAGGAACTCAGTATACATGGATGCACTATGTGTGAAATCTAGAAGTATTCGATAATATCCCAAAAGATTTATATGTGCAGATACCTTTGCGTCTCTTGACTGTTTTGCTGTGTGGAAGGAGAGTATAAACTCTGAAAGCGTTGTGGCCTTTCTTGATGCTCTTGTCCTGGAGCTCTTGGACGTCTGTCAGGGAGTTGAGTGCACATCTGAAGTTTGCTTTCCACATCTTGGGATTGGGTTTGTCTGTGCCGGGTTTGTATCGGCCTGAAATCCACGAGAGGAGAGGAGGGCTACCGTACCAGTCTTCAGTTTGGTAAAATCACAAGTCATATAACTGCAGTATTAAACGAGCTGTTCTGGTGACTTCAAAAGATTTGGGCAAAATCGCAGTGTTAGCAATCACAGACATTGTAAAAATGTCTTTGCATTATATATTAAAATATCAATAGAAGCCACATTTATTTTAAATAAATATGGCACACTTTTCTGACAAAGTGTCAGCTTTTCAAAATAAGACGAAACATCTTCAACTCTGTTTGTCAAACTCAGTGGAATGTGTTGAAAGATTTTGTGATTCTCGTCACCTCAAGATCACTCGGTCAAAAATAAATCTTTTGGAAAAGCATCATCTAACTGCCAAGTGGTTTGATATTTTGTATCGAATGAAAAGACATTCAGACATTTTTAAGTGACTTAAAAGAAGTCCATCAATTTTTTGAGACGGACTCAAAACGTGAATCGAAACTTGACACTAATGTGCATTCACTTAATGAAAATACAGATTTGGACACTCATAGATCTTGTTTCTTAGGGTAACCAATGCATGTGGCACCATTTAATAACTACTGAACAACACGTATGTTAATATATAGCATATTCATATATTTGTTAACTGTAATCATTCAAAGTCTTCACAATGTTTACATATTTGTTTATACGGCATTGTGATCATTTCCTGACAAATGGTTGTTACAAGTGAAAAAATGGAAAACTTTGCGGTGAAATTTTTCAGAGATATCAGAAATATCTGTCTGAAACATTCGATATGAAACATGTCCTGTCTGCTTCACTTGTCATTCTGATAATTTCTTAACCAAGATGATATCTTTTATTTTCCTGTGCTGTAATCAGAGAAGTCAGTCTCTGTACCCGTGTGGATCGCCCAGTTTCGAAACAGAGTCGCGTCCTTCTCGATATTCCAGCCGTGCCGGGCTGCATGCTTCCAGGGAATCTGGAAAACTCTGGCAGACTACAGTTTGATGCAGTGAAAAGAAAACACAGATATGTGACCCTCTCTGTGAAATCCAGGCTAAAGTCTCTAAATCTAATTATGAGATAAGCATCAATTTGAAGTTTGATTTCAACCATTATTTGACTACGATTTCAATCTTTGACATGGTCTTACTCAGTCAGTATTAAAGATATCAGTGTTACATTTTCACAGAATGTTCTTTACCTTATGAAGGATGATTTTATATAGAAAACTGTAAATCACCAAAAAATGACTAGCTGGGTTTTCACAGACAGGGTCATGGAGCACAAAAGCAGTCTTGAGTCACTGGGGTATATTTGTAGCAATAGCCAACAATACATTGTATGGGTCAAAATGATTGATTTCTCTTTTATGCCAAAAATCATTAGGATATTAAGTAAAGATCATGTTCCATGAAGATATTTTGTACATTTCCTACCGTAAATATATCAAAACTTAATTTTTGATTAGTAATATGCATTGCTAAGAACTTAATTTGGACAACTTTAAAGATGATTTTCTCAATATTTAGATTTTTTTGCACCCTCAGATTCCAGATTTTCAAACATTGTCCTATCCTAACAAACCATACATCAACGGAAAGCTTATTTATTCAGCTTTCAGATTATGCATGAATCTCAATTTCACAAAATCGACCCTTATGGCTGGTTTTGTGCTCCAGGGTCACATATATAGAGAGACTGACATGTATCTAGATATGTATAGCAGTTCAAAGTAAATTCAACATCTGTTTAACGCTTCACTGGGCAAGTCTGGAAAGTTAAAATGCTTAATGAGGCAGGTTCAAAGCACACAGCAGCAGTCTGAAGCCTGGTTTCTCCCAAGGTTTTTTCTCCATTCTGTCACCGATGGAGTTTTGGTTCCTCTGGCTTGCTTAGTTGGGGTCACTTCATTTCCAGCGATATCGTCGACTTGATTTCACAGATGCTATTTAAACTGAACTGAGCTGGATGATGAGTGTTTACTATTGTCCTTCTGCATTATTGACACACTATTTGATGCTGTAAAGCTGCTCTGACATGATCTGTATTGTCAAAAGCGCTATATAAATAAAGGTGACTTGAAGCAGCTCTATTAAGCACAGATCTCACCTGGTCCTGCCACACGACTCCAGGGTGTCTGCCGGAATCGATCTGCTCCTCCAGCCACGGCCGCAGCCGCAGGCGTCCCTGATGCATCTCTGCTCAGTGTGCTTCTCACTCCAGACTCCAGCAGTTTGTCTGACAGTCTTAAATCAGTGACGCACTCATTACAGGAGGAAGCATCACACCTCAGTCTGTCAAAGCTCCTCATACCTGCAGCAACAGGTTTGGAGGGTTTCCTTACAACTGTGGGACGATTTCTGCGCTACAGTCCCGCCCCCATGCATCAAACACTCATTTGATTTATTCCACTGAAAAAGGGAAACAGATACATCCGTACAGTCACTAATATTAATGACAGAATAGCTGGAGAAGGTGTTTACTGAAGGGCCAAAGAAATAAACAAAAAGTAAGTATTTAGCTTTGTACGGCGGTACTTTGGGGTTTCTCCAGTGTTGCTGTAATTGTGGCAGAATGGCTTTAAGAGTTACACTTCAGATTCTTATCAGGCAGTGGTGTGTTCTTAGTAACACTGTTGTGCTTCGCCTTGTTTCCTGAGAACTTCACTGAGCTGTTTGTGCACCTCAGCTATTTTCCAATGAAACAATTATTGGTCTCGCTCTTTTCACGGCCGAGTCGATGCAGATATTTTGTCCTAATTAAAAACTCCAGCAAACAAGCACGGAATGAATGTCAAAACAGTTCTTTTCTCAACCGGTCCGTACAGACCATAGTTTGGTCGCTGATTAAACGTTAAAAACATTGTGAATCAGGCCCATTTGGTAATACAGGTTCGTGTTTACAGCTGATAAAATCAGCATATGGAAAGTTCACCTTTATTATCTGTGAATTAAATAACTCATGCATATTAAGGTCAGTCGTGGAGATACTAATGTGTAAGTAAGCAGATTTAGGAGTCTTACATAACGCACACATTCATCAGATTTTGATCATTTTACATATTCATTTATTTATCAAATTATTTTATCCAAAGCAAATGTACACATTTACAGCACGCAATGCCAAGATGCATGAAATATATGTGATATATATGAAATTAGAATGTATTATATTGCATAAAAAAGAAAGACAATATGAAGTAACTAGTACAGTAGGACACTGATTGCTTACATTATATTTGACTGCAGACTAACAACTGAACAATCTCAGTCAAGTAATTAAACACACACTCTCACACACTGGTATTCCTATCATTATGGGTTCATTCCATAGGCGTGATTGTTTTTCTACTGTATAAAATGCATTTTCTATCCCCTCAAACAAAGCCTACAAGCAATTTTAGATTCTCAAAATTGATTTATAAGCTTGTTTATCCAAACAAATGTCCCCACAAGGTCAGAATTTACTGGTATTACTATCCTTGTGGGGACATTTGGTCCTCATAATGTAATTAATACCAGTTACACAAACACACACACACACAGACACAAGACACAAATTGCAAAGAATTGTTTACATGTATGGAACTTTTTTTTTTCATTCAAAGCAGTTATTGAATATTTCAACCTTTGCCTCCATTGCTTCACTGAATGTTTGTTCTCAGTTCATCTTGCTTGGGATTTCATCGTTTAGCCTGTCACAGACAGCTTTTGTTCATTTGGACCGTCATCAGTAAATGTAAATGTGCTTTCACATGAGGCATCATCCCTAGACAGCAAGAAAGAAAGAAGTGATCCATAAACACTGATCAAAACAGCTAACAGAACTTGTCGAGACAGTAACCAACAAGGAACTTAAAAAATCACAGACATTACATACACTCAAGATAACAAAAACTAAAAGACAGGTGAGAGCAACAGACTAAATGTGACAGTCATTCTAATTATTAATTGATTGATTTTTATCTGTTCCCTTACCAAAAAGTAGTATACTTCAAGTTTATTTTATTAAGTATACTTAAGTAAAGTTCAAGTATACTTTTAAGTATACTTTAAGTATAACAGTAGTAAACTTTGAGTACACAACTAGTTTACATCTATGTTTTTAGTTTGTACTGCAACTATACTAAAAGTGAACTTATAGGTATACTGATAGTTTACTAATTAAATACTTGTAGCATTTTAGTACACTTTGAAGTATAGTCTCAGTAAACTACTAGTTTAGTAGTTTTATACTGCAAGTATACTCGTAAGTTTTCTTTAAGTGAACTTTACATCATACTTTAAGTATACTTCTATGTCCCTATTTAGGTCTTCATTTGTCTATATTTTGTTATGAATATCTGAACATACAAAACATCAAAAGAAAGAACAGGGTATCTGCTTGTAAACAAAAGCATTTTATTCTAGCTTCATGCATTCTTTTCTTAAACACTTGAATGTGGGTAAGTTTTATAAAAATAAAGAAATTAACAAGATTTTGAACATAAAGCTGAAAAAGACTATGAATTGGATTCAGAATGATAATCAAAACAGATGGAGTCGATCAACACCCCAAAGCTTGACAATCATTATTACTTCTTCATTGGTCGACATTTTATTCCATAATGTTGCACAGTTTTGATGCTGTTTAAGTCTGATGATTGTGTTAGAATACATGTGGAAGCATCTGTTGTTTTGGTTTCTTCTTCTCTTGTGTTTTGGAAATTCTGTACAGAAGATGTGTACTAGCGCCCCCTACAGTATAACAATGAAAACACGGATTCTAGGAGCACAAGTATAGCTCAAATATATTCAGACTTTTTCTAAGTATAAGTCAAGTATACTTAAATGTCATTTAAAGTATATTTCTGAGAAGTACATAAAGTTAGACTGAAAGTATTCTTTCCTATTTTTAGTTTAAAAGACGTATACTAATAGCACACTTGAATAAACTTCTTTTTCGTAAGGGTTTTTATCTATTCTTTTTTATTTATCCAGATTTATATGAACGACTGCTCAGTTAATTAATTGATTGTTTATTCAGATGATTATTGCATGGCATATATGATTTACACATTGATTTAGTGGCGACCCAAAGCAGCACCAAAGATGAGTGAAATGATCAAGAACTGCAAGAGACCCAACAAGAAGAAAACTGAGTGTTGCTTGTTGCTCAAGTAAGTCATAATTGTAAGTCAAAGTTGTTGTTTCTTTATGCATTTATTTTGAATATCATTTCTTTTCTTATTTGCATTTAGCAGTGTTGTTCCTTGCCGTCCCGCGGTCGTGACTCAGGAGACCTAGCACTGTTTTAGGTGCCTGGTTTCCTAGGGTTTAACCACAAAACCTTTACAGAAATGTAATGTTCTGTAGTTGAAGCCCTTCATTATTTGCAATATGGTTTATTTTCCAAACAGATGTGTTCACATTCTACTATTGTCAGTGCTCTGCTGCTGTAGTCCACTCGCCGATCACCAGAGGCCCTCAGTGGACCTTTTGTTTTGTTTCTGAGTGTCTCTCTGTTAGTTGTGCTGTCTGTGTTTCGGTTCTCTATGTGTCAGTTGTATTGTAAGCCCTGCTGGTTTTACCAGCTGTCTCTTTGTTTTTGTAATATTTAACCTCGAGGACTTTCCTCATCCCATTCGCCTCTCTCTACCACCTTGATTCCTGCCAGTCTATACTGTCCCTAGTGAAAAATAAATACACTTAATTGTATCTAAAATATATTTATTTCATGATAAGTATACTAAAAATAGATTGACATGTCTATACTAACTGAAACTACACTCTAAATGTAGTTATTTAATGCTTTAACCTAGCACAAACTTAGTGCACTACAAATTTGTAAAATACCATACTTTTTATAAATGCATTTGGGGAAGGGTGAAATATATATATTCATCCTTAAGAAAGTACACTGGCTAGGTTCATAATCCATCTACAACATGTTTAAAAAAAGCTCTGAGCACAAAATAAATAAATATGAGCTATACACACACACCCATATAAACCAACTGGATGAAACCTTTGAAAGAGGATGCTCACTTCATAACCCCAGTGATCACTCAGCACAACAACTCGGTAAGGGATGAATGAAGCAACTCACCCTATGATCCTGATGAGTATTTAATGTGTGTCTGTGGGGATCATTAAAGCTGCTGTATGAGTCCTCACCTAAGACTATCACATTCTGTGGATTGATATTTGTTTGTTCCTTCGCCCCTTAAAAGTATGTATTGTAAAAATGTGATTTTAACATCGGCCTGAATACAGTGTGTTCAGTGAAGGGTGCTTGATAAGTCAGTTTCTCCTCCTCACCCAACTTTCACGAGCTGTGAAATTCACCAACAATCAGTTGTTAATAAAATGCCAAATAACGTCAGAGACGTTAACTGCATGAAAAGTAACAATGCAAAATGTATTAAAATAATTTCAAATCATGCGTAACACTTAAATGCGCAGCGTATAGCCCACCACGAGACCGTCAAACCGCCAAATAATTTAATTGAGTTTTACATTAGAAACACTCGTGCAGTGCATTGAGAGCAGTGTTACCAACTTAGCAATTTTGTTGCTAAATTTAGCAACTTTTCACACTACACTAGCAACTTTTTCTTCCAAAAGCACCTAGCTACAAATTTAGCTATTTTTACATTTTATTTGGCTGCTTTTAGCAACTTTTGATAAGTGACTCAAACGATAAAAAGGCACACATTTTCCATCTAAATTACACAAAATGAGGAAACCAAAGATGCATAGCAGTACGCACATCACATGAATTACGTTAGCTGCTATTAGCAATTGCTCAATTTAATAATAATAATTGAATAATTGAATAATTGTTAATTTATGATACACCTTGTTAGTAGCTTGTACCAGCGACTGTTGATCAGGCTACACTGTAAGAAAAATATCTAGAAAAATGGAAAAGCTACTAGTAATTTTCCAGGACATTATCCATTCTCCATTATTCATTATCCATTGTAACCCGAAAACACAAAATACAATGCGTAATTTGAAATGCAGGTAAGAAACCTGTGAAAAATCAATAAGGAAAATTCCTTCTTATTAACATAGTAGATTCTGCCCTAGTTTACTAGCTAATAAAAAAAAACTTAAATTGTAAGCCCTAATTGTTCAAAAATGTGTAAGTGTTCAATAATTCAATGTTGTATTTAAAAATAGTTATTTATATTTTAATATTATATTTTGCTGAGATTTGATGTAGTGACAATTTTGCGTCATAATTACGTAATGATCTCATCGTGTAATGACATCACAACATCATTTAGCAACAAATTGACCTTCCTTTAGCAACTTCCCCTGAAAATGAGTTGGCAACACTGAGTGAGAGCTGAAGCGCGCAGAGACAATGGGCAGAGATGTTACGGATGGTTTTACTCCATCTGCATTGAGCGTGCACGGTTATCATACCGTAAACATTTGCATATCTACGGTTAAAAAAACATTAATGAAAAAAAAATCTGCATATGCAACTTATTTCCGCTCGGCTGCTTCAATCTGTCATTGAAATGAAAGAGACAGAGATTATATCTCATCTCCATCCCCGCCGGAAAAAGTTAAAATCTGCAGTATGGGAATACTTCGGATATTAAAAAAACCGAACGCGGGGTTGTCCTTGAAGATGGATCCAATTTGCAAAAAAATGTGGAGATATGATATGTGTCTGTGAATATTAAAGCGCAGAGACTGCTATATAAATAATGTTTCTGCATGTCTCTGAGCTGCTCTGAGAGAAAACCTAAATAAAGATTTCCTAGTTTTATTTGAGAAAAACCATTGTCAAATACACTCGGAAACTCAAAGGTCCGCTATAACCCGTCAAAATAAAAGATCGATTTAACTTGAAATTATGACAGAAATATATTAGCATTGTACAATGTACTTCAAAGTTATAATAACAACAATAATACTATTCTTTATAATTAAGTCATTTATTTAAACATCATTTTCAAGGAATATCATGTTTGTCCTTGTTTTAACTTTGCCAAAAATAAAAGGAGTTGTAAATTTTCATTTGATAACATTTTAAAACATTAATTAAAATGTTAAAGTGTGATATAGATATACATAAGGTGTACAGCTTTATTTTTTATTGTTTTTAAAATTGATTTATTTTTTCAGAAGGGAGACTTCAATACTTTCATTCAAATGGTTTCAAGTTTGTTGTAATAAGGGATTTGGTCACTCAAATAACTTGTTCTTGTTCTTTTAAGAGTCATTGTTACTAGGGATGTTCATTTCGGTTATTTTTCTTAACCGACAACCGACGCTCGTTAACCGATTATTAACCGTTAACCGTTAATTCAAGAATTGAATTAAATTAGACAATGTGTTTATCTAATGTCAGCCGAGTATCTCAGAAAGCACCAGGGTTCTGTACTCGTTGGAGACTGAAAACAGATTTCCCAGCTTGATGTTATTGACCTCAGATTAGTCAGATAAGCCAAAAACTATCACCTCCGTCTTGGATTCTTTCGAAGATAGAAAATGCTAACCAAACTTCATCCAGACACGTTAATATAGATTGTATCGATTTCCACCGTCACCTCAGTTATCTTTCTCGAGTTAACCAGATCTAAGTAGAGTTGTTTGCTCTATTGCTGCAAGAACATGTGCAGGGCTGGACTTGAGGACAAAAGAAGATGGAGGAAGAACCGTGACCAGGTTGGTCCCGTATTGGCCTTGTCATCCACCTGCCAGCTTTAACTTACCTCAAATGGCATTTCATATTTTGCTTTTGGAAAATTGACTTTAACCGTGGGTCACTGAAAATGACAAGATGCTGATTAGTTGATGGTGTCATGGATGGGACAGTCAGCATTTTCACCAGATCCTTTGGGATGCTTCTCAGTAGACAACAAACATGATCATTCATTTGTATGATGAGGTGGAGAGTGAGAATGAGAGGCTGGCACAGCTGAACAACATGTCCAATATGTCCATACTGGGCTTTAAAACTTGCTTGTTTTCAGGGTTTCTCAGAGCGGCCTGACCTTCTGCTGCCACAGCTGGCTTCCACTATAGTCTGACTCTCAGCTGTCTCTCTGTCTTCTGACGTGTGATTGTGTTCTTAGATGTCCTGTTGGGTATTGTGCTGTCAGGTTTGTCATTTGTTTTGCACAGTGTATGTTCTGTAGACCTTTTCCAGACTGCCTTCTGAATACCTGGAGCTGAGGAAGATGTTTAGTAATAAGGAGCAGTAGCTGATCTGTGATTGATCTGCGTCCAGCGGCTAGTTATTCCAAAGTCTTCTCCCTGTCAATCCCCGAGCATTTAGCCATAAAACAACCACCAAAGAAGGTTTTCAGGACGGAGAACTGCAAACTTACACCCCGATACGCTGGCAGGGACAACTCATGCTTCATGATTAAAATCCCACCTTTCATGATCCCCAGATCCTTGAAAAGGATGCTAATAATGATGGTGGTGTGGTTTGTATGTTAGTGTCACACAAAAGAAAGAGTATTCGATAAAAGAGGCAAACTGTTCATGATTCGTGATTATTACATAACAGATCTAAATCTACAGGTATTTGTTTTATCAGAGGACATCTATCTATTCTCAGTGTTGATTACCGCGTAATAAACCGCTGTGCGTCATTTTTTTGTCTCTTAAGAAGCATGTATTAGTTATAAAACACTCAGCTCATCTCCACCCTTGGACTCGACCCAGTATGTGTTCTGCATATGCAAAATAAACAGCGTTTTCAATGAGAATTCAGCAGCCAATCATCTGCACACGAGGAATAGACTAATCAAGTCATTTCTTAAAGAACATGTGTGTAATTCCTGTTCCTAAGATTAATGCAGTATTGTATATAATGAGTGACACATGAACATGTTTTTTGGTTAAAGTGGTCCTGAAAGCAGCCGAAATGAGAAACTGCTGATTTATAAGGTCCTTCCCTTCAGTATTTATAAAATGTTCAAAACTGTATATTCTAACATTGGGATACATGGAATATTATGGTCATGATATAAGTACGACTGAACTTTGGTCAGAGTCATAAATATGTTTTCCGATCAGAGATGTAATAAGGATGTTGAGCTGGGATGAATCTCGCAGATCTTTGAACTCTTTTATGGCCGTGAGCGCACTGATATTGCACCCATAACTTCAGATGAGATTTAAGTCAGCTCTGTCTGGTAAGCACGACATAACCCAGCACCGCTTCATGGAGTAAGCGTCACGTTTGGAAATGGAGGAACTGAAGCAGCGGGGACGCAAGAGGGAAGGCCGTCACAGGTGAGAGACACGCCATCGTTAATAAAACCAATCATCTGTTTACAGTTACAGTTTAAAAGCTTTCATTGATTTGTTGTGGTAAAATATGCTCAATTCATCATGAATACAAAGCAGTGCTTTTATTTAAAAGTTAAACTCAGTACAGTACCACATTCAAACAACAGATTTAAAATATTTTATATTTTTATTGATTATTTTGATTAATATTTAAAATATTAATACATTTATTATAAATCACAAAATTTTGTTGTTACCATGAAGCACATTTTTAGGTTACCATGTTTTAGTTTTTTTTCAGTTTGTGTGTAAAAAGTGGTAACCTGTAATTGTTACATTAAAGAGCTATTTCTACCTGATCTTACCCTTAAATGTATAGTATTGATAGTATAACCTAATACATTTAGGTTGATTCACTAATGTTAAGTAACATTATTTTATTTGAAATTTAGATGTTACCACATGAAGCACATTTTTAGGTTACTGTTTTTTTTCAGCATGTGTGTGAGTGTGTGTGTGTGAGAGAGAGAGAGAGTGTGCCTATAAGTGTGTGTGTGTGTGTGTGTGTGTGTGTGTGTGTGAGAGAGAGAGAGAGTGTGCCTGTAAGTGTGTGTGTGTGTGTGTGCGTTTGCATGAGTGTGAGAGAGTGTGTGTGTGTGTGCTGTGTGTGTATGTGTGTGTGTGTGTGTGTGTGAGTGTGTATATATGTGTGTGTGTGCGTGTGTGTGTGTATATGTGTGTGTGTGTGTGTGATTGTGTATATGTGTGTGTGTATGTGTGTGTGTGTGTGTGTGATTGTGTATATGTGTGTGTGTGTGTGTGTGTGTGATTGTGTATATGTGTGTGTGTGTGTATGAGTGTACAGACAGTTTATATAGTAATATGCTACTAAGTAAAATAATACTGACGTTATATGGCAATATTTATAACATTCCTTTTGTCTTGTCTTTATGTGTTTAATTCTCCAAACTGAGTAGCTACATTTATACATATTTATATATAGATATATACTGGTATACAACCAGGAAAGGTCACATGTCAGTGGTGAAGGTGGTGAATGCCATTCTCACTTAAGATAAATGAGTGCATTAAGCAATAAGGCATGAAAGTGTCATATCCTAAATTTATGTTGTTAAGCACGAAAAGCCGTGGAGTGACTGTCTGTATTCACAATATACAACACGACTTATACAACATTACTTATAAAATTGTTACTACATATTAACACTATTATGGACATAAGTTGTTTAATTATGTCATTTCAGTGAGCAAATGTTTGCAATGGTGTCTATCCACTGGAATCTAGTCCTGATTTGACAGAATAGTGATATGCAGTAGCAATAATGATAGGATATGGGAGCTGCACAGTCATGTCAAAACTGTTGTTCCACACAACACGCTGAACTGATATAATGCACATTCATTTCACATTTAATCATGAGGAGAACACACAGGTCTTTTCGTCAGTCTGAGTTTTGACCTTTCACAATGACTGTCTGCACAGGGACACCTGGGACCCGTTCCAGCTGAACCCGATCGGAGCCGAAAAAGAGAAGAAGAGAACACTCTTTCGAATTCTGCAGAACTTGGTGGCCGTTATCGTGGGCCTGCTCGTGTTGGTTAGCGGGGTTATGAGCAAGGTGAATCATAACTATTACACGCTCATAAATATTTATAGAGGATAATTGCACCACCGCCCATTACTGTTTTACTCAGAGAGTGATTGTGTGTCTCCATGTCAACGTGTACATTCACGAACAGCTCATGCTTACGGATGCATTCGTGCCAGTTTCTGTGAGCGCACACACACAGTGCTGTTGAGTCACTTAATTATTGCAATCTTAATTGACCAAATACTAAGAAGGACTTGCCGAAGACAGGCTGGGCAAATGCCAAGTAAACCGTTATTCACTTCAAAAACATAAAATACAACAAAATTGGACTCCAAATGCAATAAAAAGGAAATCTTATGTGTACCTGGGCCATGAAGAGGAAGCCACATCTGCTAAAAAAACAGCAAGACATTTTTCTAAGCATTTTTTTTAGAAGAAAAATAATAATAAATATAGCTGCAAGCAGCGATTACCAGGGTTCAAGCACTTTAAGGCCTTTAATGTGGTATGCTTTTAGGGTCTAGGCCAACCTGGATGTATGGCTGACAGTAAAACACATCCAAAATGGAGAATAGGCTCACAGACACACACACACACACACAGAAATTAAATTATTAAACTAGTATATGAATACTCAATAAGCATGCTTACACACACACACACACACACACACACACACACACACACACACACACACA